AAATTAATTAAAACCACTGAACAATAGTGCTTTTATTACTTAATAAGTAATTTCCAGTATTAAATTGGATTTCTGTAATTCAATCATTGCACGAAAATTATCCGTGCAATCGAGTCTCGCTTATACGTATATTTCATTATAACGAAAAGGAAGTGAATTTTTAATGAGGATTGTCAATTCAAATTTCTAATAGAAATGAGTTAACTCATGGTGCAACTGACTTGCTTCGTACGCACGCTTCCCACATGTCCTCTTTAAAACTCGATATGTACATACAGTTCAACGATGTATAATTAGCCGATCGCAAGCCGTCGGTAACAAGCAGCCAATGACATATAACGATAGTTACAAAACAATCGTAACAGTACGATAATATACTATATAGATATATATACATACGCGCGCATATGGGCATGTGTATGTACATACATATACACGTATTCTCTTTCTCGCTGTCCTTATTAGCGATGTACAACATGATAATAATCAGTCGTAACAGGTACATAAAATTGTTTCTCAGAGAAACTCGATTAGTTGCATTCGATGCGACTCGCGAGGGGAGTCCCCGAAAGTTCTATTTTTTTCCTTGTTTCTTTTCTTTCCTCGGGATTTTCGCCGATGAGAGAAGGAAAATAATAACGATAATACTAGAAAATACGTTAAAAAAACTCAGTAAGGCTCACTAGACTTTGCAACGCGGTGATAACGATATTGTCGTAAGTTAGGATGCTAAAAGAAAAAGAACGCAGATTTCTCGACAAATTGTTCCGTATTGCATTTACAATCGGGAAAATTATAAATCGCAAATCTTACCTTCAAATTTCCATAATAACGATAATTATTATACTCTACACTTGAATCCGATAAAGTCTCTGCTTGTCAAACGAAGCCTGATTCCACGCTAAACATAAGAATCAAGGGATGTAATGAGAGTATCGAGTTTGCGTACGGAACGCAACGTAGCCACGAAGAATCATACACAGCACGATAGTTCAGTTGCTTACAAAAAAAAAGAAGAAAAAAACAAGGATTACAGATTACAGATCACGCTCAATTGCACAGAAGCGCGAACTTCTCTGAAAGACGCTTTCGCAGTTAAACGATTCTGTTACGATAATAAGATACCGCTTAAACGGTTTACTTATCACAAATGTGTGTGTGTGTGTGTGTGTGTGTGTGTGTGTGTGTGTGTGTGTGTGTGTGTGTGTGTGTGTGTGTGTGTCATATAGGATGAAATGAGGCTACGCAGAAAATACAGGCTTTGCGTGTATAATATTATGCGTGTTTGTATATGCAGAGGGTTGCGCGATTACATGATAAATTATATTATGCGTGTACAACAAGCTCTTTGAGAAACTTGAGAAGTCAATTTTATCTTAATAATAATTTAGACATCTTTTTCTTATTACTTTTTCTTTTAAAGATAGCTCAATGACTGAGTCAAATTAAAACTCTATAAGAATCTATTTTTTAAATGGAATGAATAAGATACCAGTTTTAAAAACAGATTAAAGGCAAAAGTGAATTTTGGTGTCTAAATAATATTTTTGTGAATCTTACCTACATAGTTTTCAGTTCAAGCTTATAGTTTGTCACGAAGCACTGTACATGTATAAAACGCATGTATTAGTATGTTATACATTTTTTTCTCACTTTGATGTATATAATGGTATAAAGAGCAATTAAAAACTCGCGTTTTACGCATATACGATAATAACTGTTGCGTGTATCTATGGAAGGATATAAAATGTATATCGTGTCGGCACGGTGGTATATTCTCAAACAAATAAATAGGATGTCCGCATATCCAAGTCATTCTAAAATAGATCAATTTGAAATAATGTCGCGGTTCTCAGGGTAAAATTAATTAATTTGATGAGGACAATTTTTTAAAAATTTATATCACGCCATTGAGAAAGCACGAGGAATCAATTTCTTCGTCTACAAGAAGTCACCGAGGAAGACCATTTCTTTGAAAGAAAGGACGACAGCGGAGACGCGCGCGATCGCATTGGATTTATCAAATATTTCTCTCATAAAAGAACAACATTAGGGGTGAGTTTATTTGAGTGTAGGATGTGCGAATCGAAGCGCGAGTTGATTGGAAATGATTGGAAACGTCTAAACAAGGCACAAGTCAAGACTGTTATCCGAAAGGTGGATGGTCCGTGAAAGTTCGTGTATGCGAAAGGGAAGTCCTTTAATTCATTCTTCGCGTTCACACTCACGTTTATTATTCTCATCGCATTTCGTAGAACGAATCGCTTCTACAATTAAAGGATAGACGGGAGCGACTTCAATCGCGTTCTGAATCATCATTATCGTGTCACCCTCGTCGTATCGTAGCGCAAGCAACGATCGCAATTGTATATGTATATATAGCGTATGCGAGTTTATTAATTTGACCCGCGTGTCGTATCATTTTGAAAATCACTATAGCGCCGAACACGTATGCGCCTCGTGTTTCACGATAGCGATAGTACAAGTGATAACGGTGAAGCGATGATTTCAACGGCGACAGCAGTGACAATGTCAATAATAAATTTATAATTCAAATGAATAATAATCGCGTCGTAACCATAATTATGCAGTAATATCAGATAACCAACACTGTAATGTATAATGTATACACGTGTGTACCTATATATACAGGATATCCCAGAATTGTGGTAGCTTCTTTCATCCGCGAATTCTTTGATCGATTTGAAATTGATTCTTCGATAGAAATGAATCGTTACCTTCGAACACTATAAGCGAAACCTTGGAAATTTTATTTTGAGAGTCTTATTCAGTTTCGAAAATTATATTGTGAGAAATAAATAATATGAATACTTGTAAATTTATACATTCAAGGAAAAAAATCGGTGAAGGAATCCATAAATGAAAGGAGTGACGATAATTCTGAGACATCCTGTATATATCGTAGTATTCCAAT